TTCTCAATCCATGATAAGAGGAAATAGTAGATCCCATAGGGCAGTCCAAAGAACAGGAAGACCAGCACTGTGCACACAATGGTCACATACAGCCTGGTCACAGGAATCCTGCGTGAGCCACACAAGATAGTAACCATTAAGGCCAGACTGCACCCCAAGAGAACCACAAACAAAACAATTAACCATGCAGCAGTAATGAAATCAAATGTCTGACACCAACCAAGGCCAAGACTACCAGATAGGTAATCACATACTGTCCAGTCCAGGAGAGTCAACAGCAGTGACAAAAACCAAACCAGGGTACATATGACAGCTGATGTGTGCCTTGGGCGATGGCAGCGATACCAGATGGGCCACATGACAGACAGGCACCTTTCAATGCTAATGGCACTGAGGATGTTCAGGCCACAAAGATAAGCAAAATTTGACACAACAAAAGAAAATGTATAGAATCCTGTGGGAATGGAGTAGATTTCTAAGATAAAACAAACAGAGTATACAATTTGAAAGTATATGAAGAGGAAGTCAGCCCCAGCCAGGTTGAGGATGTAGACAGAGAAGGCATTCCTGTGCATGTGGAATCCCAGAAGCCACAACACTATGGCATTTCCAACCAGCCCAACCAGGCCAATGATGAGAGAAAAGAAAATCATGGTATAGAACACAATGTCACAAAATGAAATTCCAGTGTAGTTTATTCCATTCACTGCTGTGACGTTAGTGCTCCAGTCTGGAACATCTGAATCCACTCTTAGGAGCTCTCCACAGCTGTAACTGGAAAGAAAAAGAAGATATGAGCACATGCTTATAATCTTTGATTCTCAGGACATCTTGCTCTGTGTGAATGACTGACCTGGATCATAAAGAGAAGGAAACAGAATTGTAGAGACAGTAAATTATCAAAACCAATATATAGAGCTTTAATTTAAATTTAGTTTCTATTTCTCTTGGTTATTTACAAAGCAAGTTCTATACTGATATGAGAATAGTTGATGGCCCCAATATAGATACTCAGTGTCTTGGGTTGTGTCAGAAAGAATAGAACTCTGAACCAAACTTTCTTTCTGTCATTATGCTGGTTCTTCTTTGGTGCAGGAACTTGGTAACCAGAATCATGAACAACAGCTGCACAGGAAAGATATCAACTGAGAAAATATATAAATCATAAATGACAGTCATAAAGGGAATGCCAAGTCCTACTAAGACCAGTATGAAAAGAACCAAACCTACAAGCTAATATGACTCAGTCTCTACTTCATATTGGAAACTAGAAAGCAGGAAAGCCTTTAAGGACATTAAGCACTTTTCTGTTGTCTATTGCTATATCACAAGTGTCCATCTCTCTGTAGGCACACAGTGAGCAGGTGGAAATTTTCACTAAACAATTGAATAAATGAATCATAAACCCAACAGTAGATGAAAATGTTTTAGAGCAAATTGAATACACAAAATGCATGGAAAATGAATTTGCCATTGGGAAACTCCAGTATGCTTGAAAGAATGGCATATGGTACAGAGATGGTTAACGATAGCTCTTGTCATTCTCCAACCTGGGAATGTCCAATGGTTAACTGTAATGAGAACCTAGAGAGTGGTTCTCAACCTGTGGCTTGTGACCCTTTGGGGTAAATTTGTAACAATGAAAATATATCTTGCATATCAGATACTTACATTACATTTCATAACAGTAGCACTTACACTTATGAAGTATCAGAAAATAATTTTATGATTGGGATCACTACAACATGAGGAACTATATTAAAGGGTATTAAAGGGTAAGAGCATTAGAAAGGCTGAGAACCACAGGCCTTGAAGATATAGGCATAGGATTTTGAGAGGAATTGAATTTCTAGCACTCTTTAGGAGGTAAAAAATTAATATGGGAAAACAGAGAGAAGAAAAGAAGTAGAAACTGTGCTAAATAGAGGGTATTGTGACACAGAATCATCTACAGGGTTTGAAGAGAGAAAAGGTCTCTAGGAGGGTGATAGAAACTCCTCTACCAGCCAGGTTAGCTTACATGTGGAATACCAGTACTCTAGAGGCAAAGCCACAGAGAATTCCATGAATTAAAAAACAGTATGAGCTACATAGTGAGTTCCAAAAAGCCTGAGCTGTGAGAGAAAGCAAACAAGAAAAAGGAGGAAAATACAAGAAATGTGGGACTCAATTTGGAGACCTAACCTATGAATACTATGTTCAAATGATAGGAATAAGATGCAGTCTAAGGCACAGAAAAAAATTCCATGAAATAGAACATGGATTTTCCTTGATCTACAGGAGGATATGGATATTTAAACAGAGGAGGTGTTCCAAATGGACATGACAAGAAATAAACCCATACACAACAAACTGTGGTGACAAATGTCAAGGGCAGATGACACAAGAAGAATGCTGGTGTTAAACACTGAAGGGTCATGTGGCACTTTACTTGCAAAATGAAACCTGTCAGAAAATAGGAGATTTCTAAAGCTGGGAGACCATGGAAA